GGTTCAATAAAACCAGTAAAACGGGGCTAGTTCACTAACGCCATTAAGTACTTCTAGTTGGCGCGGCATGACCATTTTCACATATGTCATTTCTAACACCCTACAGACTACGTCGTCCAAAAAATACGTCATTACAACGTCACAGTGACGAAATAAGGCCCGTCAAAGTATACGGATTGTTGTCTAAAACGCACAGACAATCACCCGAAATCAAGCAAGATATTTCTCTCGTTTTCTCATCGTAACGATGCCGATTTGAGAGAGATCGTCAGCGAGTACGTTATCGTCGGCGAAGATGCCATTTCGGGCGATCGTAGCTTTTCTTTGGCAAGCTCCATGATGTGATTGTGACGTTGTAGTGACGTTATTATTGGATGACGTAGTCAGGTAGGGTTAGGAATAACATATCCTAAATATGTTCGTGTCACACCAACTACAAGTACCTAAGGCGTTTAGTGAACATGCGAAAAGGAGCAATAAACAATAATAAACAATACTTTCATTTCCAAATTGCTGCATTTCCCGACTTCATCTGACATATAAATATTTTTTCATAGGCCGTAAAGATCTATTCTATCGCTGCCCAGTATTTGAATGGAGTATTCCTTTTAGAAAAATGATTGGATTCCGTGGCTGTTCTCGTTGACCGTCAAATCCGTAAAGATTTACCTCATCACTGTCTGGTTTTGTACGTGGATCACGGTGATCGACACCAGCACAGCCGACCTTCGTCGCAGATACGAATCTAAATGGGGCTTCTTTTGGGGAATGGCAAGAATGCCTTTTGCCTATTTCTTGGAAATACAATTGCCGCTAGGAGAAAGGGTTAACATTTTTATATCTTGGTTCAATGCGGTTCAATTTAACAACATGGGGCCGATATTCCACAGCTCGTATTTTGGTTGCTTTTTGTTGCCGCTTTAGATAATTTGATTAAGCTATTTTTTCGATTAATTCTCGAACTTTGACTTGACCATTTTTCGACGGTAGGAATGCTTCAGTTAATTAACGATGGTGCAAAATGCATGATTTAGGCATTCAACGATGGTGCAAAATATTTCCTATCTCTTCTTTTGGACATAGGCTACATGCGTTAATATACCTTTTCTCGTGCTTTATAGTTTAAACAATTCATATACTGTACCGTTATTTCTAAAGCTCTAACCATAAACGCACGGGTACCCCCGAAATATGTGACCCAAGATGGCGGACACCGGAACGTAGTATGTGTACCAGGTTAGGGTTAGGCCATAATTTTAGTTACAAATACTACGGGAGTCACTTGGCTAGTCTTTGAACCTGTAATAGAACTAAAATAAGGATAATTGGAATAAAATTATGGCCTGACCCTAACTTGGTACACATACTAGGTTCCGTTGTCCGCCGGACTTGGTTCACATACTTCGGGAGTACCCGTATTCCATCAGGTAACTTTGTCCTGGACATAACTTATTGAACTATTTGGGGGATATTTAATTTAATTGCAGATTCACACAAGTTTCTAAAAAAAATACAGTGTCTACTTAGCAATTGCAATGTTTCAAAATATCATCCAGGGCCATTATCCGCACATGGGCCCAAGATTCTGATAAATCTTTTTTCACTTATTCTCTCTTATTCTTCTTATGCAAGCTCACAATAACGTAAAGCAGCGGTGCCCCCCCCCCCCCCCCCCCCCCCCCCCCACACACACACACACATCCAATAATTTTGATGTGTGATACCTCACTGTCATTTCTAACTCAAGTATAATTGTATTCTAGAAATATAGAATATGGCATATTTATAAGTGTAGATTGTCTGTCAAATACACAACATATTTTTGTTAGTTACAAATAGTATTATCGCTAATAGCAAAGTATTTACCACCCCCCCCCCCCCAAATTTCGAAATACTCTCACCCTCACCCTGAAATGAGAAGGCAAGGAGACATACTGTAGATCAGGGGTCGGCAACCTTTTGTCGCTCGCGGGCCAAAGTTAGGGTTGCAAGTCATTGGCGGGCCGCACATATTTTGAGAAAGTTGAAAAACAGAACGGATGGTACTTTTTATAATAAAAATCAAGCAGTGATACATCTTTCGAATAGAATTTAGATTTATTTCCTCATTCATCTCATAAAATTCCATTTGAATATTTTCAGCGCCATTAAACCCTTTGCACTTAGCATCAACGTTTCTGCGTTTTGTTGCCATTTGCTTAATTATAATTAAATTATATGCTCATTAAACGAGTAATTGTGAAATATATTTGTTAGGTTATAATATAATTTAGTCTAAAGAATATATTCGTCAAAATGGATGTTTTGTGACTATAATTTAGTGAAGCGTCTCGGGCCGGATTATAGTGCTCCGTGGGCCGTAGGTTGCCGATCCCTGCTGTAGATGTTGATATACTGCACTCAGCAATTTTACTACACCACAGCACATTATTAGTAGTATCTGTATTATAGCATTATATTTTTGTATTTTTAGAATTTATTTTTGTAGTTTTGATAATATATTCACCTATTCATTAGGATTCAGAATTTTATTCATTAATTCAGGAGGAGAGGAAAGCGGATACGATGAATTAATCAGATGGTAAACCATTCCATCTCGTTCGATTACCAGATCATGTCGAGTATAAAATTAACCAGTTAGGTGTGAGCCAGGATTTAAAAAAAAGATTGTGGTATAAAATTGGAAAATATAAATAAAAAATTCTCGTGCTTCTGAAACAGAAGCCCCGATTACTCACCACTCGTCAAACAGACGGGCGAAGATTCCAAACATTAAGCGAGAAAGGCAACAAAAAAAGAATGCGGCTATTGCTTAGCCTCAGAGTAATAATTCCATCGGCCATACCAGCGAAAGATTTAACACAGCGACAAGAGAAAAAAAACATTGTGTATTTTTATCCATGTAAGCGCCTTTTCAAAAATTGCCTATAGAATTAGGATTTTATGCTTGAACGGAAACGCTTGTTGACAAGGGCCGCACAAAATGGTTTGGCGGGCCGAGTTGTAGCTAGGGCTGGGCATTTTCGAATACCTGATGATTTCAGAATCAAATCGAATATTTTTTTCGAATCGAATCGAATCTCGAATACTTGTGAGTCAATGGGAGATTTGTGATTATATGCTACTTTTTCACTGTAATTGGTCCTGTCAACAAATGTATTACTGAAAACATGAATAAATTCTTAATTCACACACAATGAAAAACACTTTTTTATCAATAACTCACTACAGAAACTTGGCGGAAAGAAAAAAACAAGATAGCGGCGATTCGAAATTTTGCTCTGAACTGATTCGAATAATATACTATTCGAATATTCGATTCGGAGTGCCCAGCCCTAGTCGTGGCCCGTGGGACGTCGGTAAAACACCTCACAGTTTAGATTATAATCCAGGGATGTGCAGAATGCTCTGTAAGTGGGCCATATAAACAACTTCAGCCACAATTATTTTGTGGGAGAGACAAGAAGACGACAGCCTGCGGTTATCGTTCAGCCTTACAGTAATAATTCCACCGGGCAAAACTGGGAAAGATTTAATTAACGAAGCGACAAGAGAAAAAAACACAATGTGTTTTTATTCATGTATATGCCATGTATATACGTACGTTATGCTTGTTTTACCGCCCGATCTTAATTAAGGGCCCGTTGGAATAGCCGCCCGTGTGAACAGGACATAAAAATAAATAAGGGCCGGTGCTTGAATACCCGCCTGATGTAAAAGCTGATTTTCCAGTGGTAGGGAACAATAGGAAATAAGAAGCGCTTTTGTCACAACGCTGTTGAATTTTAAGCGCTGGTAGATAACACTCACGCCTTAGGCGTCCAAAAGTCAAAATTTTCGGTATTCTCGTTTAAATAAATCATGCTTGAGAACTGGAAATGACAATATATTTTGTGTATAATTGTACTTTAAAAATAACAAGTGCCAGTGCTTGAATAAGGGCCGGTTTGAATACGGGCACGATTAGTGAGTTTGGTTAAGAAATATATGGGCCCGGGCTACAAAACGATCAAATACGGTAAGCGCTGTTTTAAACATATATATACATAGGATTAGGATTTTATGCTTGATGAGGTAAAGCTGAATGCTGACAGGGGCCACACTAAATGGCTGGGCAGGGCGGGCTGTGGCCCGCGGGTCGCCTGTTGCAAACTTCTGTTCTAAACAGTCAAACAGGGCAATGGAGACACAGAAAATTCACGATCTATCCCAACTCCGGGTTGTAAAACTCTAGCTCGGACGATGAGAAAAACAAATTTTGATGACGAAAATTCAACAGGTCATAAACAACGTTTGCTCAATTTTTGTGGGAGATTTTTTGACCTCAAAAATCTTTATAAAAAGTCTGGGGTCAAAAAGTTTGGTGCTCCAAAAGTATGTGCACCAAGATGGCGCACACACGATCTGAACCCAACCTGGTACACATACTATGTTCAGGTTATGCGCCATCTTGGTGCACATACTTCTGGAGGTCAAAATTTTTTAATTTTTTGTTACTTTTCATTTAGGTATAAAGGATTGACTAATTTTACTTAACAAGCCCTATTTGTTGTGAAGACATGCAATATGATCAAAATTATACAAGAATACAATTTGAAATGTCGAAATTTAATAAATTACGCTTAGAATTAGCGGGTCTCACTGCATACAGTGGCCTCAGACCAACGACGCTGTTCTGGCTATAAGCACGTGCATTTATGGATAGAATTTATTGAATAACGTTACAAGGATTGCATTAAAGCATGAGCAAGATTCCCAAACTTTCACGCGAAAAAATTTCCTGCGACCCCCGCTAGGTCGGCATTTTATGCAAGCGTGGCGCCTCTCTGCTCCCACGTATTCTCTCTAAATCGTGAGATTAGTGTTTCGCAATAGTTTTAATAATTGTGTCATTCGAAGCAAGAGTCCAAAAAAGTACAATCGATATTTTTGATATGTTGGTGTACTTTTTGCGACACATAAAATTCGTTGTGCGCTCCCATGTGGAGTTGCAACCCCCCTTCAATGTATGTATGTATGTATGTCCACAAGAAGTGAGGAAATATTTTTTTTGTTTATTTCCGGAAGCAATCCTGCGATGGAAAAATGTTGAGTCAAAGATCCAAAATTAATCGAACAAATACGCAGATAATTTTGGTGAAATGCAGAAATATAGAACCAACAACGTGAAATTTCGGAAAACTGGCCTCATGTTGTTAACGTTAACCGCAAAGATCCAATACCAAATAACGAGCGCCACCTCTTTTCCCGACAATTGTATTTCAAAGCAATATGCCAACGGCATTCTTGTCATTTTCCAAACGAATCCAAATTTAGACTCGTATCTGCTATAAAAGTGTTCTGTGGGTGTAAAAGCCACTTCAGCACACGTCCAGATCCAGACGTTGATGAAATAAATCCTTACGATATTGAAGATTAGAGAAAGTAGCCTTTGATTTTCCTGAAAAATATTTCATTTTAAATACTGAGTAACGATAGATTTTTAAAGCCTATAAAGGGGGCTCCCGAAGTATGCGAACCAAGATGGCGGACATCGTAATGTAATATGTGTACTAGGTCAGGGTTAGGCCATAATTTTAGGTATAAATACTACGGGAGGCTCTTGGCTAGTCTTCGAACTGATAATAGGACTAAAATAAGGAAAATTGGAAAAAAATTATCGACTAACCCTAACCTGTTACCCATGTTACGTTCCGATGTCCGCCATCTTGGTTCGCATACTTCGGGAGCACCCTATGAAGCTAGTTATTTTTGAGATGAGGCGCGAAACTTGACAAATTCTAAAAAGGAGGCGCGGTCTAAAAAGTTTGAGAACCACTGATTCAAAAGATATGTAATTGTAGGTGATTTTTAATTGTAATGGGTTCTCTCAACTCATGAATTACTAAAATATAAAATCCATCACTCAAGCAGTTCGCTGAGTGTCCACACACAATAAAAAAAAATTATTTTCAATAACTCACTAGGAAGAAAAAAATCGTATGTCAGGATTGCATATTAAAAATTAAAAAATTAATTCACCTCGAACCTTTGGCGGGTAAAAACAAAACAAAATGGCGACGATTCGAAACTTTCGTCCGAACTAATTCGGATAATTTACTATGCCGAGCCCTATTGCCAGGCTTGTCCATGGAACATATTTTTCTGTCCCATTCCCATCCCATTCCATTGGAATATAATTCAATGAAAATTGTTAAATTTAGGTTTATCGTCCACTAAATAGGAATACATCTACGAAGAGACATGCAAAACAACAATATTTTCGGACTTTGTTAACTTTATATTCATATGTATTATACATGTGTCCATCAGCCCATTCACGAAGTCTGTTGTTAAGGCTGAATATATTTTCCTCTTTAAAACTAACAAGAAAAATCATACGGTATTTGTGTCCCACGTGTCCCATGGGCAATCAAATGTGTGCTATCCCATCCCATTCCATGGGACGTTTCTCATGGGATTTCAACAGCGATCCCAAATCCCGCGGACGAGCCTAACGATATCCAAAAGCCAAAAAGAATTGAGCGTGCCATATAGGGTTAGTAATGTTATTGGTTTCCTATAATGAAGTAAAACAAGGGTGTGCAACCTGCGGCCCGCGGGCCAAACGCGGGCCACAAAGAAAAAATTGGGGGCTTAAAAAACGAAATTTTAGTTCAGTTCAATCTGGTATGTGCGATCAATTCCAACCCTTAGGCGTTGCAAATTATACCTGAGTCCAATTTATCATCTATGCCTATGATGTTACAATGTCGTAACATAGCGATTCTCAAAGAATGGGAATTGCTAAGTGCGCCCCGAAAAGTAACAGAATTGTGTAGAACATAATTAATATTAATTGAATATTATACATATTTGTATTTATTATATATGTTTTATAAATATGTTAATCAATGAATTCATTTTACCGTTCTATGTCGTTTACTTTTTGTTAAGAATTGTATTTTTTTCGTGTAAGCTTGCCATGAGTTTTTTCCCTGATAATTTGGCGTCGCACGACCAAAAAATTTGGGAAACGCTGCCCCAAAAGCTAGCTTGTGTGAAGCAATCAAAGCATGTCATAATTTTTTGTGCATACAACCACTAGAAAACCTATGTTAAATAAAGATGCGGCTCGATTTCACCCAGTTATTTTATCTGGCTCTCTGGTATTAAAGGTTGCACCGCCCTGAAATAGTGTATTTTGTGTAGGCAACAGTTGAATACCTGTTTTTTCCTCGGAGCATCGAGTAAACGGATGATTGTATAATTAACTTGAATTGCATCGTGATCATAAGATGTCACAGAATGATCAGTTTTATTACAAACCGGACAATACGTTCTGTAAAAAAAAGAGAGTACGTCGATTAAATGTAATGAAAACTAAAAGAAATAATATACCTATACAAAACAAGAAGAGAGCAATGCAAATATATGGACACGTTAACCAGAGCAAAGTAGTCCCTACTTTTGACGTTACCGGTACGGCGGTACCCTTGAAAAATTTCCGAGTTTCGCGTAGCAAGAATTTAAAAAATCAACCCGAACATCCAGTGTTCCCATGGGTAAAATAATACAGCGAGATTTTGGACAAAATAACAGATTTTATTCGAAATGCAGAAATAAATAAAAGTGATAGCTCTCTATCTTCAACGACTGAAAATTTAAAAGCAATTCGTCCAGTAATCAAAGTGAAAAACGACTTTTTTCATAACGATGAAATTATGTGTCAAAGAACAAGAACAAGGATAAGAACTAGATAGAAATCGGAGGCCGCCGACTCATCGATATTTTGAAACTGCGGTTTCGGTTCATTCGCTCTGACTCAATAGCAACACCGCGTGTCCCATCATTAATTAATTATTGAATTGCTAATTATACGACATAATTCATCCAAAATCAAAAGGATTTTGGTTCGAGATATGATGAATGCACATGCAAAATTTGGAGCAGATTCAACATCGCTTTCGTGAGATATTGCGTAACATACGAATGTGTCTAGTAGACAAATATCCATCAACATACTTTCCGATCGAGATCGATAAGTAACAAGCAGACAGACAAATACCTATCAACACACTTAGCAATTGAGATCGATAAGTAACAGACAGACAAATACCTATCAACATACTTACCGATCGAGATCGATAAGTAACAACAACAACATAATATTAAGTCCACCAACGTGTCCAATAATATTCAAGGTATCCCCGCCTCGCTAATATATGAAAACTCACTACTTATCGATTTTAATCGGTAAGTATGTTGATAGGTATTTGTCTGTCTGTCTGTTAGATGCACGCGATATATCACGAAAGCGAGATTTGATCTGCTCCAGATTTTGCATGTGCATTTATCATATCTCGTACCAGAAGCCGATTGATTTTGGGCAAATTATGTCGAATAATTAGCGAGTTATTAATTAATTAGTGATGGGACACAAGGTGTCACTATGGAGTAAGAGCGCTGTTTTGGGGGATCCCCTAACTTTCGATCGATAAGTCTTCGGTCTCTGACCGATATTCTCGTATTAATCAGTTAATGTTTGGGTTACGAATGCAGATTGCGATAGAATTACAAATTTTAAATCATTCCCGACCCTAACGCTAACCTCAACTGGGTGATTACTTTGATGATTTGTTAGTAGGAGGACGGGGATAATTGTTCATAATAAAAATATAAAGCGGCATGAAAAACCTACCCATATGGTTTTATAAGCTCGAATGTGCAGACTTTACAAAATGTGTGCTGGCATCGAAGCATTCGAGGTTGTTTCAGTCCAATTGGTCCGAATTTCGTTTCACAAGTAATGCACTTCAGTACTTCATCCATGGTTTAATTATCTGTTAGACCAGTGTTTCTGAAACTTTTTAAGCAGCGCGCCTTTTTAGGGTAATCTCGTGTGTACCAGGTTAGGATTGGGTCATACTTTTGTTCCGATTTTCCTTTTTCAGTTCTATTTCGATTTTGGGGACTGTCTGTGTTAGCCAAGTGAATATACCCCCTGCTCAAAGGTTTCAGTTCCTTCTCACAACTTGATGCAAATTTGGCGAACAAAATTAGTTACCTCCATATTGATATACACACTTCTAGAGCGCCGGAAAATTTACATCCGACGGGTATATCATTTTATATTTATGCTTAGAATAATTCTGTCGACTGACTGACTTTTAGACTGGCTGACATTCAGGCTTGAAATTTATAATCTACGACGACAAAAAAACAGGCGAACTTTCATATCGCGAAGTCATTACCCCTAAATAGCTCATGCTACAATCCCTACTTCAAGAGTGTGCAATCTTTAATACAGAAGGGCCCTATACAAATAACGGGGTGGAATCGCAAGCCACAATTTTATTTGTAAAAAGCTTTCTAGTAGAAAAAGTACAAAAATGTTCGTTTTCGAAGTTGGTCTTAGATATAGGATTTGCATCGAAAAGGGATTAGCATTACTATAACACGCACCACATTAAGTTGAATTAAAAACTTGTTTCGCGGGCAGCACTCTAGTTAAAATTGGCACTTCGAGTCGTATTTGGCCTGTAAGCCGCTGGTTGCAAGCTCCTGTATTATTTATCTCACCACTAAAATTGTTTGATTCTACTTATCTTTTGCACAGTTAGCTCGGCTGGGGGTGTATTTACTTGGCTAACATAGACAGTCCCAAACTCGTAATAGAAGTAAAATAAGGTAACTTGGAATAAAATAATGTCGTAACTCTAACCTGGTACACATACTACGTTCCGCTACCCGCCATCTTGGTTCGCATACTTTGGGAATGCCCTTAACTCTACCCTTCTCATTCTAATCAGCTTCCTTATTTTAAACTCTAAAATTCAACGACCGATCGCGCGCCTCGAATAACTTCTTACACCTTTAAACTGTTAATATTTGACTTAACAGTGTATCTGAGTAAATAAAACCCACATGGTCGGAATACCGAGATATTGCTCTCGCATAGGCATAGTAATATTAACCAATTGTTGTCGTTAGTTTGGTCCGCGGGAAAATTCCAATTTGAAATGATGTGCGACCGTGCGGTCAGCGAAAAGATTTATCTATTACATACCAGTATTTCCAAAGACTATACTTGAACTTGAGCGCACAACGCATGTCATAATATCAATTACCAAAAATTTGTGTGCCTGCAACTACTAGAAAACCTATGTTAAATGAAAGTGCGGTCGTGGTTTCACCCAGTTATTTGTATTTGATCCTCAAGTATTAAAGGTTGCACACCCCTGGTTTATACAATACCGCTGCGATTACATCACAATTATCTTTCATCAAAACCTTGCGCAAAATCAGCAACCCCTTTATAATATCTCATTGCGCTCCTCTTGTCAACCGTTCAATACAATGGTGTTCGACGTAAGCTTGGAGAATAGCGCAGGGGTTCGGCATGCTCGCAAAATTTAAGAACCACTGACCTATTCCAATGTTACGTGAATAAAATAGAAGTTGGTGCTCGGGGACACATCCATTGGTCTATCGCGTGCCGCCTTCTCAACGCCTAACTTTATCGGCGTCTTACAAGTGACTTCTACAACAAGGCTTCGAGAATATAAAAGGTCTTTAAAATTTTCATGAATCTTTATCCTTTTTTTGTATTATTTACTTATAAAGTGTACTTTAGTATGATGGGAAACAACTTCTTTATCTCAAGTTGTTGTATTGACCAAAAACGTTAATCAATTTATTGTGCAGGAATTCCTCGAACCTCTCTTTTAATTTTTTTTATTTAATTTTGCAGTCTTGAAAATATACTCAGACATTCAATGGGCTTTTGTTCATTCGTGGTGCAGCGGTGTGGCTCATCGCGATAAGCGTTAGGAATACGCTCGCCACCTCACTTCTGATTACTCTGCGTGGGATCGCAGGTTCGAATCTCATGCGGGGATGATTATGTGCAAGAGAATTGCCGGACTTTTTGCCGTCGTGGGTGGTTCACGTAACTGCTGGGCGGTTACGGCTTCCTCAACCATCAAGTCCATAATTCCGAAAACAAATAACTAATCCTATACCCGATATGGAATGGTAACCGGACGAGAATTTGTGGTTCACCACATGATTAAGCTTATCGGCTTTCTTCTCCCCGGGATAAATATGCAAATCTTATCCTATTAATCCAGGGGGGTAGGAAAGTGGTCAAGACGTATTAAACCTCTCTGGCCCGGTTACCAGTCAGTATGGTGTGTATGGTGACCAGAGTTAGGGTTGAACAATCATACTAAACATATGGTCTTCCAACTTTTCACGATATTTTAAGAACGGTGTGTATCCCCCCCCCCCCCCCCCCCCGCCGAAAATACGCGACACTACAAGTATGTGTATGTATACCAATACGTAGGTAATTTTGTTCGCTTACTGTACATTTACATATAGTTGTGTAAATTGAAACCTATGGGCATGGGGTATATTCACTTGGCTAACACAGACAGTCCCCGAACTCGTAATAGAACTAAAATAAGAAAAATCAGAATAAAATTATGGCCTAACTCTAACCTGGTGCACACTTTACGGCAGTACCAAATACAATCCCAAAATAAGCATAAAAAATCCTGCAATAGTAGTGAGAGAGGAAGAGAGAGAAAGATGGAAAAAATATGCTGCATTTGTTAAATCCGAAAACAGAAACATAACATAAACAAAACAATAGAATAGAGCAATGCTCAAATATATGGGCACGAAATAGTGCAGGTATGCAATCTGTCACACTATACGATACCATCGTCTTCACAACTTCGCCTGGTCACGTAGCGTAATAGATAGGATAGGATTTACATATTTATTCCGAAGAAGAAGGAAGCCTATAAGACGACCTAATAGTATAGCAAACCATGACTTCTCGTTTGTCCGGTTACCAGACCATGTCGGGTATGGGATTAGTTAACCAGTTACGGAAGCATGGACTTGATGACGTAAAGTGCAGGAAGATTTTTTAGGTCTAGTGTAGTTTAGTACCAGTTGGCGTAGCATGACCCGAGTTTTTGTTTGACAAGCTCTATGACGTAGTGTGACGTCATAGTGACGCAATTTTCGGATGAAGTAGTGAGGTGGCGTTTGAACATATGCATTTAGGTTTTATGCACAAATTTATGAGCCATGCCAACTAGAAGTACATGGTACCAAACTACACCAGAACAGACTGAGGTTAAAGGTCGAGGAAATATCCATCGATATAAGAGCTAAAATGAAAGCAAAAATAAAGCGATACCGTTATCTCGGTAAGTGCGCGTTGTTTATTCAGTTACGTAGTTGAGTCAAATATTGTCTGGCCCTTAACGAATGGTTCATCAGTGTACGAAATTATTTGAGTGGCGATCGGTCGTTTAATTTAAGCGTTTAAAGACGTGGAATAACTGATTAGATTGTAAAAAAGTTTAGTGTTTTTCAAGTGAAGTAGAATGAAAATGCTAGAATAAATTTATGTACTTTTCTGATATTGCCCTGCCGCTGTTTTTGCGCACCTTTTTTTTTCAAAGGTTAGGTCGGGTTAGGGGTGGAAGATGGGTCAATATTCTATACCATCCAATCCCAACTAACACAATATAAGCGTAATCGGAAAATTTCCGGTACTCCTGAAATATGCGAACCAAGATGTCGCACAACCTGAACCATAACCTTGTACACAACATGAGTTTAGATTGTGCGACATCTTGGTGCGCATACTTCAGGAGGTTCAAATTTTATATATTTTAGTTATATTACGAGTTCGGGAACTGTCTTTGTTAGACTAGTGAATATACATACCCCTTGCCCATAGGTTTCATTCCCTTTACACAACTTGATGTAAAGTAAGCAAACAACGGTGCTCCCGAAGTATGCGAACCAAGATGGCGGACATCGGAACGTAACATGGGTAACAGGTTAGGCTATAATTTTTTCCAATTTTTCTTATTTTAGTCCTATTATCAGTTCGAAGACTAGCCAATAGCCTCCCGTAGTATTTATACCTAAAATTATGGCCTAACCCTAACCTAGTACACATATTACATTCCGATGTCCGCCATCTTGGTTCGCATACTTCGGGAGCCCCCAAACAACATTATTTACCTCCATATTGGTACACACACTTCTGAAGCGCCGAAATATCAATAAGTGATCGCAGGCTTATAATATCGACAGAACAGAATTAATAGTAAAGGAAGAAGTGGAAGAGATATTGTTTTATTTTATCTTTATGTATTTATTGTAAAATAGCATTTAAATGACAAGCCTAGCAAGTAAATAAACCATGGATGAATTATTGAAGTGCTCTTCTTGTCGATCGAAATTCGAAACAACTGGACCGAAAGAACCGCTGATGCTTTCATGTCAGCACACATTTTGCAGGAGATGTATAGAGGACTTGATAGGGCCGTATAGGTAAGTAGAGTATTTATCGCGGATATGAGTATCACAAAGGTATATTCACAAAGTCATGCACCAGATTTTAGTTTATCACGCGGAATTATAATTACTTAAACCTGAAACCTAACCCCAAAGTCATCAAAACTGTATTCATAAGAAATATGTTCCTACTCACCCAATATTTTCACCATCAAAGGCATCCCCTACCATTACAGCCGACATGCCGTGGTTACGGCAGCCATATTTTACCCGCCTTTGGTTTTCAATTTTGCTTCCGTGGTACTCCAAGGCAGACTCCACAATTCCACAAAATATTTGAAACTGCACTTGATCGATTGGGTTTCTACGGGACTAACTACTTATCCTTCCTCTATGCTTTTGCGACGGTGTATCCGTATGCGTATAATGCAAGGATGCTGTAGCAAGAGTGAACACAACTATCCTAAGTGATTCAAGAGTCTCGCTGCACACTAACACAAATATATTTCTGTAACCTTTCGACTAACCAAAATCAGACTTTCTCAGATAAGCAGTTTACAACAATGACAAGAAAAGAAGAATGGTCAAACAAAACGTATCAGAAATACAATTGTGTCAGTGTGCAGCAGGACTCTTGAACTGCATAATATACTATTATATATATATATATATATGG